GCTTCAGAGGCACGGTTTTTTTTTTTAAATAATAGCGTATAGAGCATTGTTCCAGAGGTGCATTTTTCCAAAAAAATTCTTATCTTTTGTATGAAAGCACTGATGTTAACTCTAAGTGACCTACATTTTCGAAGTTTCTGGCGTTTAAAAAGTTTCCCAGCGAACGAAGTAGACGATATTACTTCCCGATTCAATTTCGTTTCTTCAGTTATTTGTTCGTCGAATTGTGCAACATGATACGATAATGAAAATAAATGAAAAAGAAAGAACGAATCGGACCGAGATATTTATGCGACGGCCTATTTTATGTACGTTCACTTTGCATCGCGATTATGCCGTACGAAAGTGAAACAGCGATAATTTCCCGGAAATTGTCGAGTATCCCAATAAAACAAATGTACGCATATACGTTTGAATATAAAAAAAAAATAGGTCTGGCTGGAGGCAAGGTATATCGACCAACGGCTGTGGCTGCTGGGGGAATAGAAACTTTTCCATGGATATGAAATAGATAACGGTCGGTTCGAGGTCGTTTACTCGCCGATACGGAAAAGCTGGATGGTATCTGGCTAGGGGGCCAAGATATTTTCCTGATCCGAAATCCCTCCGTTCGGTTCGCTCGTTAAAGTCATTCTGGCGTCTCACTTCTCCTCCTAGAGAAAGAGATTTCTTAGAAGTGGCCCCGGACTATAAACGACCGACTTCACTGACTAGGCGTATTCAAAGATTTCCACAATTGCACGCGCCCCGATAATACAGTTCGCGCGCCGGTAATCTCGAAGAAAACGATATATTTCAACTCGATTCCGGGGGAATTTATTCGACGGTTGTCCGCGTAACTCTTCCGCTTCAAACCGAGCCAATCGATTTTACTTTTCCCCGCTCGTAGAGGAAACCTGTGTTCCGCCTATCTAAGAATATTCATTAAAAAAGAGAATTCGAACGATCGTTTATTTGCGGCTGTTTAAAAATATCGTTCGTTTTAATAGGTTCAAACACGAACGACACACTTACGCGTGTGTGTACAGGGTGTTTCGACACATGTGGGCGTAATTTCAACAAGAAGAAACTTTATGTTTTCCACTGATACTTATGACTCTATTCACTGCTTCTTTTAATTCTTTATTTTTCTGGTCAGCTATGTAAACGCTATAATAAACAATTTTTGATCGGACCAGCTTTTCTAAATAGGACATTAACTGGCGAATCATACGCTACATTTTACATGAACTATTAGATATCACTTGACATCGTCAATTGTACATGGTTTATGCACGATGCACATTTTAGTCGACTAGCGAGACAGTTTTTAAACGAGAGATTCCCTAATAAATTGGCCGTGGAGGGCGAATTAATTGGCCAGCACGATCGCCTGACCCTAAATCCATTGGACTGTTATTTGTGGAGGCACCTGAAGTCTTTGGTTTACAACACACCAGTGGACAATGTTGAGGACCTGCGATATCGTGTTCAAGTTGTCGGCGAATTCAAACACCTGGTAATTTTTGAACGAGTGAGAAATAACAGGTATAATACAGAAAGAGCTATAATTCGGAAACAAGGTCATATCAGGTATATACATTTATACGAACTTTTCATCTTATTTCAGCGTACTGAATCCATCTCTGAAATTACGTCCACATGTTTTGAAACACCCTGTATATATACAAACATTCGTTAGTATCTCGTTAATTATTAGCTGTAGGACAAGGTTAACGATCTTTCGAACTGCCGTCAAAAAAATAGAGCATTCCATTAAGAAAAAAAGAAAGTTGACCTTCGAATCTCCTAAACGCCTCCGCTTACAAAGAAGTCGTGTACACCTCTTGATGCACACCTTTGTAGAAATAATTTTTCGTACAGCGCCTAATTTATGGGTGATTCGAGGTGATGAAGTTAGACGCCTCACCCTGTACAGGGTGTAGAGTGTAGAAACTAGGTTGGAAGAAAAGTTATTGGCGTGGCGCAATTGTTCCGCTTTAAGTATCACCTCGCATTACCAAGCGACGAGAAGGCGGACAATTTAAATTATAGGTATGCTCAACTGAGACTGCCTTCTCTTATCGCATTAACGCGAGAATACCGTAAAATGCGCAAGGCAAAGTACCCACGCCACCCAACAACTTCCCAGCGTAACCGTGTTCATTACAAAGAAAGATCTCGCCGAATTCCCCATTTACATTCCGGCATCGTATGTGACTCTTAAGCTCCGAGGGGTTATGTGGCCACCTATTCTCGACCCTTTCCCCCCCGGATTAACTTGTTTTCTTGTAATCGTCCGCTACTGTCTTTCGATAAAGATTACCCCGCCCAACTTCACGCGACCGTTTATTTCCGTGGGAAATGTGTGCGCGCAAACGTATTTCAGAGAAAAATGCAATTCCCACTGCGAGCTTTCGCGAGTATGTATATATACCGCGTGCAAACAGCGGACGTGCTTTTCGAAAAGCAGCTGCTTAGACTTTTATAGCTGCGGAACACACTTTGCTTGATATATCGAAATCGTCTATTAACACTTCGCAGTCATATCGAGGTGAGACACGAGCGCTGAGCTAGCCGAAATTCATCATTTGTGTGATGAGTGAGGAAAATTGGAATGGTTTTTCGATTTGGTGGCTGAGAGTTAGGGTTTCGATTACTACTCGTGAGGAATGAGGTTTCAATGAGTGTACTTGCAATGTAATCACTTTATACGAGTTGGTTTCGAACTCTAGAATGAGTATCTACAGATTTGGAAAATGTACTTGCAAGCAGTTCGATGTTAGAAAGAGTCGAATCTTGGAAATAAAAATTCTGTAGCAGGTTTCATGATTATAATGGTTATATGTAATTTTTGGTAAGGAACTCACGCAAGTTTCTTTTTTATTTCTTCAAGTACACGTGAAAGATTCGAATCTATTTCGTTTAGATTCGAGTACACTTGGAAATACTGTTTCTATTTTCTGAAATACTTGTAGTATGGCCAGCAGACCAAATTGATGGTTAATTAGGACTCGTCAGTGGACGAGTTCTGATCACGTTTTAAGAGGTGCTGAAAACAGCACTCAAGTCAGTAAATTAGCTCATAGGAATGTATTCTGATTGCCAATAAAAAGGAAGAAATTTAAAAAAATACTTACAGAGGGTTCGAATCTACTTGCAAGGTACTTCATCTTATCCCTAATCACCATACGTCCCGGTTTTCTGATTTCTTAATTTTTAAAGAGCTCTAAAATATACGGAATTCTACGAACAAATTAAGAATAACAAATCATTTCGTAAGAAAGCTTTGAAACTCGGCTCCCAAGTATGTAGATTGCTGCTATATTTTTAGTTACTATTTCATCTTTCACTTTATGTGATTTTTTAACTACTACAATAAAAGTACACTTTTTCAGAAAAATTTCCTTCTAACTTCTTATTTTTGCATCTCTTCCGGTTTGGTGATGAAAAAATATGGCAGCCCTAGGTATAGCGTTGGTATACATAGTATACATTAATACACGGTGCAGCCGAAAATTATATACAAGCGTGCACCAGGTGATTTCTTATGAAAAAATGACACAAAAATATGGAATAAAATTTGTTCATCCGGCGCGTAGTTCTGGAGAAAATCGAGTTTGAACATCCGTTACGTACGTTTACACGAGGACGCCAGTTGGAGCAATTCTTTAATTAAAATAGCCAAATACTTTTGAAAAAACATTGTCTTTGCGTTTCCTTGAATTTAAAAATTCGTAAACCGATCATTCCCTATTTTACAATTACGCAGCTGAAACTACACGCGCAGCGGATTTTCAAATTCGATTTTCTCAAAAGCTAAGCCGGGATTGCGTATTGCATATTCCTTTTTTATTTTTTCATAAGGAATCACCTCGTGCCCGCCTATACACAGATAACTTTCATCCGCACTCTATATAATTAATTCATAAACTCGCTGTGAAAAAAGCATGCATATTGTAGTCAATGGAATGCGTATCAGCGAAATTTTTCCGATTTTTCAGCTGCGAATCTGACTTTTTAAAAATTCAAAATCTTTAAAGTGCCAAATTTTTTTTTTTTTTATCAAAACCATCAAATATCAATCTTCGTATTTTTTACAGCTACAATTATTTTCTATCTGCCGAAAGAACGATCTCCGAGTAGAAATTACGTTTAAAACCCAAAAATTTGAAAACAAGCGAACGTGCAAATCATGCGATTCTCGTTGACGTTGTATAGTATTATACAGGTTGCGCCGAGTGCTGTGCACGATCCCGTTAGATTTGATGTGCAAACGCTGTTACCTTCTAAATAGTGTAACAGTTATGCGAAAATTAGTTGGCAGTTTGTTCAAGTTGTTGGCCGAATGTAACGTTCGCATGAAAGAACCGAGACAATTTCGCGAAAAGAAATACGTAATTGTAGGTAGAATTTGGAAATACAGTTTCTCGCATTGATAACAAGTTGGAAGAATTTTGTATGAAACGTTCAACAAGGTACGATAATTCGAGATTTCTAATTTACGCGAAATAATTTGCAAATAGCGAAAGATTCATTTCAGATAGAATTTGTATCGCGGTGTTTCGTAACTAAGAGAACTAACTTATTAAGAAGAAAAGTCGTTCTCCATTAACTTGGCTTATACTTGCTTGAAAACATGAACAGCCAATTTTACATTTGATTGAACGTTTAATTGGAACATCACTTTCCTGAATGAAAAGTACTTTCGAAAGTTAAGCTCCCGGCCCGTTATATCTGTGCCCATTGATTGCTTTAAGTTTGTACAAATTCTACAGTACAGAGTTCACTTGTAAAAACAATTTACTACGCGATTATAACTGACGTATTAAGTGTTGAAGAATTACGCATGTAACGATCTTTCGCTTATCTGTTTTAGCGTTTAACGCGATTCTATGCATCAGGTTATAATCCAGTGTTCGTTAATTGCAAATGAAGCGAATATCGTTTCGATTAAAGCGAAATTTAATCCAATTTGTAGTTGTGATAACTATTTTACTATCTACACATTAATGACGATATAAATTTATTACATTATTAGTGCTTCACGCAGTCGGTAATTCGTTGAATTCGATCCCATCGTTGCTTATTGGTTTGACGGTTAATAGCGGGGCTGTAACAAAATAAATACTTACGTAGGTATTGGATTGTGATAAAAAATTTTCGTGATACGTCTCGACTCGAAAATTTAGAGAAAATTGATAATTTAAATTAGATAAAGCGAGATGTAATTTCGAGAAATTAAAGGGAAAGTTTACCGTGTTATCAAAAAGTCTTCATAATGAAAATTATATCTAATTTTAAGAAATGATAATTAAAATTACATTTAATTTTAAATCGCGATAATTAAAAGGAAATTTCGTCAAATGTTTTAACAGTCGCGATTTCCAATTCGACAAAAGTGAAAGCAAGATTTACGATCGAGAAGAAAATTTCTTAAAAAACTGAAACTTTAAATTGCACTTACGTTTGGCAACGGGTATGGCCAACCGACTTTTGGATTGAACGTTCCTTGGCCGGGGAAAGTAGGAAACGTAGCAGGTCCTGGTCTTTGTACAGGTGATCTGTATGCAAATACTGCACAAATTGCGGCTAGCAATATGAAGATGCACGTCGCTACTTTCATCTTGTCTATTCTTTCACGTGTCTGCAAAGTAATTGCTCGTTAAAAACTGTAGTACGATTATTAAACGCGATATTATTTTAGGTACCGAAAAAAGAAGAAATTCCCGCTGTTTTTCTATCAAGGATAAACTCAAACCGAATTTCTTACAGCAGCACGCAAATCTAATGCAAAACGTTCTTATCGGCGGAAGGTCTTATCTATTTAGTTGGTCACTGAAGTCCACTCGAAAGTCGTAAAAATTCAACAAGCACTTGTTAACAGGAAGAGTGTACTTCTTTTGCAGCACGACCTCACTTTGCTTCTCGGACTCGTGAGAAAATAAAGGCTACCCAGACCTGTCTCCTCACGGCTCTCACTTACTTCTGTCTCTACGTGAAACTCTTTTGCAAATAAACACTTCGAAAACGACGTCGAGATCGAAAAAACATTTTTTGCAAATAAAACTCGATATTTCTACGCACTGCTGGCGAGAAAAGAAATTGCAAAACCTAGAAACTGGGGTTGCGCGATTCTGGAAATGACATATTAGGTCATCCCATAAATTCGTGTCGAAGGGGAAAAATATTTTAATGAAAATTCGAGGTAATGATCCTACCAAAAAGAAATTGAAAAAAGTTGTGGAATGCGCTTTTGTTTTTCTATCAAATTTAAAGGTCCGTTGGAAATATTGATCTAAATTATAAAATTGGTCACGAACTTACGGGATGACCTATATTCTTCAAGCTACTCCGAGGACAAAATTACCTGTCTCGATAAATAAGACCTCTTTTAACAGAATTTTAATCACTTTTCCCTTTAAATACCCCAAGCGATATACGCAAATTTCAGATTTGTACGATTTCATTCAGTGACAGTGTTAAACCAATTATAGAAACAAATGGATTTGCCTTGTTAAATAAAACGTTTCAAAAAAACTTCAGATTACTTCAATTTTCCACTACAAATCCGCACGAACTTTCTCAAGTACCCAATCACGTATAATATTTACCTGCTTGCAATCACTGAGGATACTCCGGATTGATGCTGGATAAACGTCTCAGTGTCTTTATATACCAATTCTCTTGCGTCAGAATTCACATAGACGACCAGGAAATTGTTTGTTCTGTATTATAGGAAGATTAAAGTAAGCATGTGAAAGTGCATACACACATGTGTGTTGCGGGGAACACCAGCGTTTCGTCTTATCTCTCACGATGTACGGAAAGTCAGTGATGCAGATTGACCTGACCTATCTTACTCGCGATAAACGATAGAACGTTTCTCTTTCTTTTTTTTGATTGGTCAGCTTGCGCGGGAGATCCCGGAACGTGGAATTTCCTCAGCTTGTTTCTTCACATCTCGCGATGAGTAACGCGTTGTCGACTTCTGCACACACCACACACACACACACGGTATATCTAGTTAATTCCACTGGTCTCGTATTTAGACTGACGAAAGTAAACTGCTCGCTTCATTGTCCCGGCCAAAAATAGAAATCCAACTATGACGCATCTGGTGATCGAGTAGATCATTTTATCGGAGCATCGTTTGTGTGTCCTATCCATCAATTTGAGGATTAAACACGGTAGAAACTGTTTTCTGGTAAAACGTGCAGGTGCTCCATTATAGTGAAATCACATTGCTATCCTTACTGTACCAATGAATTCGTTAATTAGACGCGGGCGAGATTGATGAGGGAAACAGAAAGGGGTAGTTTAATAAGAGCAGAAGGGAGAAAGAGCAGTAGAAACGTGTGCAACTGAAGGAGAATCGTTGCACTCGGAGGCTCGATGCACTCGAAACGAGGAGCAACGTTGAGTATCATTATACCAGTTTTGCTTCCTTGAGTCCTCGAGTTGCAATTAGGAACAGCAATAGTGAACATTGAGAGACGCGAGTGAAAGACAGAAAGTAAACAGGTGCTTGTATCCTATACCCCTTTTTCTCGATTTTTCACGCACGCAACCTGCCTTTGCCACCGTTCCGCATTATCCGTGCCAATCCACTTGCACTCTGGACTAGTTTCCGGTATTTCGGTCTTACTTTGCTAACTATAATACTTCCTCTGTGCCCGTTGCTTCAAGTCCCATTAATACCGTACCTGTAATCGAATTTTATCACCTGGTGCAAAAAGTACGCACTTCTTTGCGCAAAATGTCAGATCTTCAACCCTCGAAGTCAATTTGACCCGAAATCGAACTTTGACCTTAAATAACTTTTTGAGAAGATTCCTGATTTATATGAAATTCAGTGACATTGTTCGATACTACTAGAAGAATGTGTCGAGCAAAGAAAAATGTGTTCGGTGCTATTTTGTACGAGATAATCACTTTTAGAACGCTGGAACTGTTCGGGTCACTTTTGACCCGAAATCGAACTGACTTTAAATAACTTTTTGAGAAGATTCCTGATTTACATGAAATTCAGTGACATTGTTCGATACTACTAGAGGAATGTGTCGAGCAAAGAAAAATGTGTTCAGTGCTATTTTGTACGAGATAATCATTTTTAGCAGCGTAACGATTATTTGAACAGTGCACGAGGGTTAAACGTGTCAGTTACTTCTGCGCCACCCCGTATATTCTTAATACGTCCCTTCCTTTCAAGAAGTAATGACCAAGTCTTTGTTGCAGCCCGTTTAATAAGCCTTTAGCAGTTCATCATGCTTTGAATTGGTAGACCATACGAAAAGATGGATGAATTCCCTCGAAAGACAAAGCTTACGATGGATGGATCCACTGTTCTTACACTTGTTAGACGAGCTCTAAGTAAACTATACGATGTGCATCCGCGGGCGTTTTCTGCCAGACAGAAGGCCGAAATTAAAAACATTCTGAGTAATTATGCGGCTTATCGTTCTACGGATATTACCGCTAAATAGGATCCTGTATAGAAAAGTTGCGCGAGATACTTTTTCTAATACAGAGAAGCAATTTCGTTATAAATTCTTGTACAATTTTCCAATACGTTTCGTACAGAAGATACTTGTGTGTTCGTTTAAAACTTCGTGTTGCAAAGCTAAAGAAGTTAGCAAGTTTCGCGTACGAAAGTTTGCCATCTGATGATTTCAGGATTCGCTTAATGGGCAGGAAAAAACAAGAAAAAAAGAGAGAGAGAGAGAGAAGAACGTACTAATCGTAAAACATCTCGTGTCATCGTTTGAACGTAGAAAAAAAATTGTTACCCCCCAGTGGAAAAGGTTTTGATATTCGCGCGTATCCGATAACAATCAATCAAACGAAACAAAAGAAACGTTTACCCCGTCTGTAGCGACCCTTGCCGCCGTCGACAATATACGGCTGCAGCCCAGATATGGCTGCAATATATTTATAAAGTCACACGCGCATTATTTTCACGCGTGCAGATAAAAGGAAATAAGCGCCGGCGGGGCTTGGCAGGAGGGGTTGAAAGCTAGAAAACACCATGAACGAAATTCCTCTGCCTAACTTCAAAAGCTTTTGACGACCCCCCTTTTGTTTACCATTCATTGAATGCCAGTTTGGATAAATGGGATTCGCGCTGTATATATGTCCTTTTTATTCAATTATAATCTACGCATTCGTACACTTCCCCCTTTCGCCTCTTCTGAAGCGCGTTTATTGGAATTTTTTTGTTTGCACCGAGCATTTCGAGGGAACGAGAGAAGGAAGGTCCTCTATTCAACGTATCACACGAAATTACCCAACTTCCATTTCTTTGCCGAAATCTTGCGAGCTTAAGTACAACTGATCGATACACAGGGTGTTTTGTGTAAAACAGAACGGTTAAGCTGTGATAACGCGAGATATATTTCTTAGGTAATTTAAATGGTTTCGAGAGACGAATCACATGGAAGAAAAATTTTTCAATGTTTCTTTCTAACTAACGTTACCGTGCAATCATCTCGAAATGATCGTGTACGCTAGAATTTCAAATCAAACGTGAAATTAATTCCATTTTTCGACCGGATAAATTTTTCTTCCTACTTGTTCACCCTTTCAAACCGTTTCAATTACGCCAAAAATATTTCTCGCATTGTCACAGCTAGAGGAGATAATTACACGGCGCGTTTCACGCGGAAACATTCTGGCACACGGCGAAAGTAAAACGCGGTTTTACCTATTTCTGTGGCAATATTTTTAAACGCTTTTTCGCATCCGACAATACGTCTGTCGCGTGGAAATGTAGCGGTGAAATGTCTACGAATAACATCGAAATTACCATGACGTAATGCGTATTTGATAGAAGTGGCAATTAAGAGGAAAGTATGTCCTTAAATGAAAGCTCATTTTGAGAACTAATTACCAACGCATTCACTGATTTCAAAAATGCGAGGCAAATTACCGTCGACTTGCGAACTGCTTTGGAGTTTGAAGGACGTTGTTTAATGAAAACCTGGCCGGCGTGCTCGTTGAAAATTTTCAAGAAGCAATTTCTAAGGTTGCAGAGGCACGTGTTTTATTAATCGCTTTGACGTTCAAAAAGCAGACGTTTCCTTCCTGATGAGTGAAGAAATGAAAAGGAGAACCATCTGACAGAGGCAAATATATACATGTATGTATATATGTATACCTGGAAGATTATTTAATAAACATTTCATCTGGAACGGTGCTGGTTAAATCCGATTTATCGCAAATCTCTTAACTCGTTTACAATTAGCACCGGACTGTCGTGCTCGTTTCGTTTTATCGAATTTTGCAAATTATCCGTAACCCCGATGCGCATCCGCACGTGTATCAAGAGCGTAGTAGAGGGGAAAAACATGGAAGGAAAGAAAGATTCGCTTTTATTTGAAAATATTACATACGTCTGATCGAACATATGTTCGAGAGATGTATGCAAAAATGTACGTTCGAGCTAGCAAAGAAACAGCGTATATTTTTCTCTTTTTGGCAGTCGACAGACTGAACTGGCTCTAAGTCCGGGGCTCCCTATTTCATTCCTTCTTCCCCTTGCACCTTCGCGATTGAACGTGAGCCCAGCATCGAAATAAAACTACGATGAATACTGCCTCCATCGCGTTAACGTCTCTCTTCCATCTTCCATCGTAGAGGCCATTTATTTCGATCTTAACTAATGTCTTTTCGGGGTCCTTTCCGAATAACTACCATCCTCCGCGAAAATTCCAGCGACGTGAGCTGTGAAGTTGCAATTTTTCAAAAAAAAAAAAATTCTACATTCCCCGATAATTTTCGTACTATTGTAACACATTCGGCTGGAAGATTCTACGCGAATATACCGGGTGTCCTGCAAGTTAAATAGGGGTGGTCCTACGATTTAGAAAAAGGTTTCTGTTCGACTAATTCGGAATGGGACGTGTTTTCACGAAACAGCGTGAAATATACGAGAGTTTTTGCGCGACGGCAAAGCGGAGGAGGCGGCACAGTTGCCGCGGGCGAATATAACGGGTGTTCGAACGTGTAGAACGCGATAGGGATGAAACGAGTGACATTGGAAAAGGAAGGTGAGCTATGGCCCTGAGAAAGACAGTGGTCGAAACGGGTCTAGCTAGCTGAAAGTGGCAGACAGCAAGCAGCAGTGAGGCAAACGGGGGTGAGCAGTTCCCCAGGGAGCTTACTCGGCTCCCGAGTGTTGCAGCACCGTCTCCATGCCGCGATCTATCGCCCCATTGACCGCTACTCCATTATCAGAGTAGTCGTAACCCTACCCTACGTGTCACTCTTGTTCCTTATTTTCGTGCTTTAGCGGAGAAACCTCTTTATTACCAATCCCTGACAATGCCGCAAAATACTGTCGGATTTATGAATCGAGCTTCTATTCGAACGTATTTTAATAACGAATATTTATTAACTACGAGACTATTACTATCCATTCTGTTATTAGGTGCACAAATGAATAATCGACATTTCTCGGTGAAATTCGAAGTTTATTTAAAAAAGAAAAATAGAGCAAGTGCTTTCTATAATTTTAATTTTGATTCCATAACTGATTCCAAGTGATAAACCGAAGGAGCAATTCACACGTTTTCGTAGCATTTTCTCCTGGTTGAAATTTCGAAAGAATACAACGTCAAATATGCACTTTATCTGTTTTTCAAGTTTATATTCAGTTTTACGCCAAACTGATCGTCACACAGTAGCAAAAGAGCGGG